TTGAGTAGAAAGCTCGCCAAAACTACATTTTTTTTCACAAAATTCTGAAACTTGTAATGAAAGATGAAAAACATGCCCATTCACAAAGGAAATAACAGGGGGTTGGATCTATTTTTTTTCATCCATGGTATAAACAGATTTGCCATTCTTTCAAAAAAATGTCCATCCTGTCTCAGATTTCTCAACTACCCAATCACTTCGTATGTTACATATGTATCATATGTGAGCATTTATAAGCAGATTTCCTTTCATATTTAAAAATTAATCATAGGAGGTAAGATCCGGTGGCGGCTCGTGCCCCAACAGACTGTAGGTTGCACCTACATCGAATGACGAAAATTTGATTTCCAAAATTCAAAATACGAAAATATAATAAAATTGTAAGCAATTCAAATTAATTAAAACCAATTCGGCAAGTTTCACACAAATAAAATTATTTTATTTCGAAAATCTCACCACCCTGGTATATTTTTTTTAAAAAAGATTCTTCAGCACACACGCTCATATTCCACCAGAGCTCTCTGGTGTAATTGTAGCCTGCTGCATCTACCGAGAAAGGGACTTCCTTCCAGATCAGCCAACTTTACACGAATTCATCAAGTGTACATTTAAAACTAAATCTAATATCAAATGAAACCAAATTTTCTAAACACTGTATAATACATTAAATGCCGTCAATAATTGACTGAACGTGTGTACTTTCAATAACAAGTGAAATTCGTAAAATTATGTTTGCAAAAATTGAATTTTGGTGTTCCCCTGAGACTCCCTCCATCGCCGCGCAGCGCTAGACAGTGCCACCCGTTTGGTTACACAACCAAATGGCCCGTGTTAAATTGAAGGGCCAAGGAGTAAATCCAATCGTACAGTCAAAATCCAAGAACGAAATGCAAAACCTGGGAAGGCACCAGGCAACGACGAGAGCGGCATTTGGACACTCTTTGGTTTCAAAACTATTTCGTATACATCGATATTTCTGCAATATTGTGAAAATTGAATGTCATTAAAAGGAAAATGTGTATTCCTCAGATATTCGGGGATCTTTTTAGATTATATCTGGGCTCTGTGCCACTATTCAACCTAGGCATGAGCCGCCACTGGTAGGACCTGTCTTGATGTCACAAGCATTGACTGTCATCGTAACTGACATGTATTCCTTTTCATCATTATCACTTTTTTTAATACATCTTTCTCCCCATTCAGCAATAACTTAACCACCTTCAGAGGGTACACGCTTTAAAGTTAAGCAAGTACAATGTAAAATTTAATGCAAGTTTACATGCATTAAATACCCATTCTGGTCAGAAAAAACAAGACTCAGGTTATTTTCTTCCAAATATTCATCAACTTCTTGGAACCATTAAACCATTTTCTCACTGCATTATGATACAGTTGATGATTGTGGAATTCTTTGACGAATATTAGTTTGTCTTTGTATAAATAATTGTACCCACTTTTTGCCTTGTTTGTCATCATTAAGTATGGTTTTCAGATTCAAAACCACAAGTTTCAGAACACTTTCTATCAACTGAATTCTGCTGATGGCAGAACCAATCCTCTGCCTCATTTTACTAAAATTGCTTCTTATTTACATAGAACACAGGAAGGACCCATCTTTGTTTAAAGTAGATATTTTTCAGAATGCTTGTAAATCAATTCGGGTAACTATGTAATATTTACTAGCACTTGCTCAGGGTATTACATTTTTACAGCTTCAGCAGCTTGAATCATTTGATTTTCTTCATATTTTAGAATATTTTTTCTCCATACTACTAAAACATTAAAGAAAAACATAAGACAAACAAGAAATAATCCATCTGCCAACTCTGTATTAACTGACAGTGTATACCACATGCTGACAGTGCACCAATTCCTGACAGGTGTCAGCTACTAGAACAATAAAATCATTTGCATTGAGTAAATGAGATATTAGTACTAATCGAAAACTCACATAAATTAATATTTTTTTAAATCAATTTTTAACACATCTACCCAGTATCTGACATCCCCATTATTAACCATTAGATTGCAAGACCGATTGCAAAAACATTAAAAGCGATTCTGGTAGATGATTCAATCTGAAGAACTATTAAAAAATGAATAAGTTGGATCTACAAAGAGTTAAACAAATCAGTAGTGAATGTCCAGCAGCTTTGCCATGCGCTCCACAACACCAATCAGTCAAAGAACAAGTTGTCTTCCATCCCCCAAAAAATTAACATTGCCATGGTTGCCAGATTAGCCACCGCACACTTCCAAAATATTGTAGTTGAATGTACAAATGAAAACAAAACATAAATATACAAAATTAAATAAGAAATATGAGCTTTTAGGTATGTATAGGTGTTGTGGTAAGATATCTTTGGCATTTTAAAAATAATTAAAGATGTCATTGTAAAAAACATTGTTGGCAATGACAACATCTTTAATTATTTTAGGTATGTGTCAGCTACTGCTGCCTTCACCCTAATTGTTGGTCATTATAAAGAGTAATAAAGTAGTCCTTTGTTTTTGTACATAGAGCATTGATTATCCAAATGCATCCAAAGCTATAATTAACCCTTCGATGCTATGGTACAATAGCATCATTACTGTGATGGGATCTGAGAGACTGCAAAGAAATTGAGAGATGTCTTTCAAAACTCAGTGTTTAATGTGGACCATGATTTTTACAGTATTCACAGGGGCAGAGACAAATTTCGGGAGGTAAAATTAAAAATGTTTTGGTCGAATTGAATTAATGCCTTATTTTACGTGACGAGACTCGGGCCATCTGGCCCGCTTTTCCGTCTGACCACGCAAATTTGACGCTCTACGCTCCTTTCACCAACTAGCGGAGAAAGGAGGTATATCTTGGGCGACGAATAGGTGATTTGAATTTTGCTCAAAGGCGACATTTAGGTTTGATCTTTTACATGCATGTAAATCTACTAACATGGGACAGCCGGCTTTACTTCCCCTCCAAAGGAAGACGTACTACGAAATTTTCCGCCCTTCACAAATCCATGGCGTCGATTGGGTTTGAACCCGCCAACTTGGGTATAACAGTTCGATACGCTAACCATTACACGATCGCGCCGATTGTATTACATATTTTGTAAAATTTCGCAGGCTCGTGCTACAGTACTATTTTATTCGTTTTAATGATTATCCGAACGTTTTTGGTTGAAACTTTCGTGACAAGTTAAAATTAAGCTACTAAAAAATGTTGGAGGGGGGGGGGGATTTCCCACCCTGTGGATCCGCGCCTGGTAATTAATACACTTTCTGTCACTATTAAGCAACAAAATTGTATTTAATTCACATTTCCTGTTGCAATTAATATTTAGGACAACGTGCAACATTGTACTTCAATTGAATTAATGGCTTTATTTATACGGCGAGGATTGGAACATCAGGCTCGCGCTTCCTCCTACCTTTGGTTGACTGTTAGGCGATAGTTGCTGTAAGTATACATATGAGCAGTATAGTTTACAAATAAGTAGTTGCTGAAACGTAACTTACAAGAACGTAATAGTGAAGTTGAACAGATGCAGATTATTTTCCAAAAAACGTTTGAAAGGATTTGAAATACAAAGACGTTGAAGATAAAATTTGAAATGAGTGACACCACTATGGGCTCAATGTGCGGCAGTGTAGTATTCCATCTCGCTTGCCACTTCGTTCCCGTAGATTAGAATTGTCAGCCGGTAACCTACAGTGATATAAATTATAGAGTGATACATTTTACTTAGTAATTTAAGCATTTAGGTGTTTCTTAATAGTAGTTTATGCAGTTAATTTATAATGTTAAGCTTTATTGCTTATATTAAGAGTTCATCTTTTGAAAACTAGTGACGTTATACTGCAATTTTTTGCAATTCTGCCCCTGGCAGGTATCAGCTTTTGACGGTTTCATCCAATCGGGAGCATGGATCGTTGGAACTGCCGATTAGATGAAATTTCACCAGCTGATACCTGCCAGGGGCAGAGTTGCAAAAATCGCAGTATAGGAACGAGTTTCCAAATTTATACGAATGCAATGATGCAACATTATAATCAAATTGCATACGCGTTTTTTATATAGCAGCATTATAAATAAATAGAGAATCCAACGTAATTTTGCAAAGAACTTTGTGACATATCGGGAATTAGACATTGTGCGAGAAAACGGTGGTCAGCTGTTCAGTTTATAGGAAGTTTGTGCCACATCGATCGTTAAAACAATCGAATGCAGTACCGATAACAATAACGGGTGAAATCGAGAAAGAGCTTTTGCATGTTGTGGTCGAAACGTATAAGTCGCAATGGAAGAAGTTCCAAATTGTGGCAACAGTGTGTGCTGCTTATATATTCTCTGGTGCTGCTGTAGTGACATTGGGTGACGTGAGTAATTGCTCTTTTCTTGAGCAATGTCTCCACTGGTGAGTAACTGCTCGACCGCGAAGCAATTGCTTGCTTTTCGTACGAATGAAAACGAGAAATTACTTCTAGTCCGAAGCATTTACTTCGATTTGTTGGAGCAACCTCTGTAGGTGACTCAAATCGTATTGTATGGTTAGAAGAGTATCGTATTGTATGCGTACGTCTGTTGACAGAGTTAGTGAATGCGAGTGAGTTAAAGATGGAAACATTTCTACGATGTCGCCATCAAAAGGTATACAGAGAGAGAGAAGAATTACTGAAGGAAGGAATTATAAAACTTTGTTCCGTTTTCACGCGGAAAATGTTCAGTGGTTGGCGAATTATTTTCTCGGCGAATATAATGAAACCAGAGGTGGGGCAGTTAACAATGAAATAAAAATGAGAATATTTTTGCGATTCTTAGCGGGTCCTGATTTAGAAATTGGAATGGCTGAGGATATAGGTGTAGACCAGAGCACCATTTCAAAAACCCTTTCCTATGTCCTGAAAAGAATTGTGGAGAAAAGGAACGAATGGGTTAAATTCGCTTCTACAGCTATGTCTCTAGATTCTGCCAAGATGGAATGGCAAGAACGTTATTCTTTTCCAGCTGCTATCGGGGCTGTGGACTGCACTCGCATATTAATTAGAAAGCCTCATATGCACGGAAATGAGTATGTGAACAGGAAAGGTCACCACAGTTTGAATGTTCAAGCTACGTGCAATGTAAAGGAGGAATTTGGCCTGGATCTGTACACGATGCCAGAATATGGAGAAACTGCAATGTGTGCAGAGTAATGTCAAACCAGGCAATTGTTCTCCTCATCAGTGATTCAGGATATCCTATTGCTCCATGGCTCATGACCCCATATCAAAATCCTAACCACCAGAACAAACAGCCTTCAATTTCCTATCAGTTTCCTATTTTAAAAAGACGAATTAGATTGACCCCTGAGGAGGTGCTTTCAGTGATTTTGTGTTGTATTTTGCATAACATAGCAAAATTCTTGCAAGATGAAGATTTTCCTGAACCTGGAGACCAAGAGGACGAAGAACTAATCCATGATGATGGTGTAAATAAACCAAATGTAAGACAAAGAAGACAGCAGAGAAGAAATGAAATAGCACATATAATTCATGGAATGAGAAGAGTAAGTAATTTCGAACATGTGTCATTTTTATGTTCCAAGACCAGAATGTATTAATCACAAATCATCTATGAATTCATATGGGAATTTTTCCACTCAATTTTTCTTACCTTACAATTTTTACTTGCTAAAATAGTACAATCTTTGCAATTTTGAGCCGATAAATATCTTGTTGTTTTTATTTTTACAGGTATAATTGCTTCTTCTTATAATCCTGCACCAATGACATTGTGACAGTATTAGATGCTCAGAAAACTGGCTTTAGGCATCCCAGCAGAAATGATTCCTAAAATAGTCAATTATTATAATCTAACGAATAAAAATGTAATTACTTACCCGTAGCAATAAAATGTAATTATTTTATAAATAAATAAAAAGTTATGTCAAATATTGTTTTGAAAGAAAATTTTATTCTCATTGAATAATTTGAAGACAGTGTAAGGTCTAAAAAATTGTATGAATGTTTGCCTAAGAATTAAAAATACATTCAAACCAATTTAGAAAAAAAATACAAAATGAATATTGGTTCTAAACCTAATGAGGCCGAGTAAGAGCATTATGAACATTAATAACACCAGAGACAAAAGGGACAGCAGAGGTAGGTGGAAATAGCAAGAATCAGTTTCAAGAGAGTCAAGAGAAAAATTTAACATTCTTCAGATCATTCACATTTATTCATAAATTATTTACACAATTAATCTGATCCAATTGCCACTGCAATTTCCTTTTTTTAAATAGCAAAATTTCCAACTGCTGAATATATACCAATTTTTCCAGTTCGGCATTAGAGAGTCCATTCACATTTCTTTTCCTTTTCACAGGCGTAACGTCTTCGTACATACTAGTTCCATATTCGAAAATCAAACTAGCACTTATTGATGCACCATTTTCTTGTAACGTACTTGTAAAATCTGCACCACCATCATCACTGACTGAAGCAATACCAGCTTCTATTGCTCCTGAAAATGTATAAATTACGTATTTTTAATTCACTCGTAGTTTACTAATTGAAATGCAATTGCAATAATAAATTGTATTCCATAAATAATAAACGAATGAGTGAATAAAAGTTATTGTTACCTTCGATTCGGGTTACAGTTGGATTAGTATCTCCATTGATCAGTTTAAGGTAATTTTTTTCCCACTCCGTCAGCTTCATTTTTTTGTTGCTAGTCTGCAACCCGTCGGTTTTTTTCTTCACTCTATCCTTTAAATTGGAAATTGTCTTCGATAGTTGTCGGGTGGTTATTTCTTTTCCAAATCTAACTCTGTATTTCTCCGCTGCTTCAATAAGGGCTACGGCCTTCTTCCGCCTTGATGAAGGCAATTGGGATTTTTCAAATAAAATCCTGTGATCCTTCAAAATGCTAACGAAGGCTTTTTGATGGTAGAATGCGGGGCCCTCCTCAACCGATCGCTCTGAATCACTCATTTAAAAATTCGTAGCACAACTCGCCCGGCGATGGTGGTACGGTTAGCGTACCGGACTGTTGTACCCAAGTTGGCGGGTTCAAACCCGATCGAAGCCGTGGATTTTTAAGGGCGAAAAAGCCTTCGTACTCCTTCGGAAGGGAAGTAAAGCCGGCTGGCCCATGTTAGTAGATTTACTTGCATGTAAAAGATCCTCAAGCCTAAATGACGCCTCTGAGCTAAATTCCAAATCGCCTGTTTCTCGCCCAAGAAATGCCTCTTTCTCCGCTAGTTGGTGAAAGCTTAGCGAAATTGCGTGGTCAGACGCAAGAGTGGGCCTGATGGCCCGAGGCACGTAAAATAAGGCATCAATTCAAATTCAGCTCAACTATCACAACTAATGCCAGACTAACACGTGCTATAATATAAACACGGTCAGCTTCGTCAAAACATGTTGCCCGCTAAACCCCAAGGTTTCTACAAAACAGACGAAATCGCAGCAGATTAGTGGTGAGCAATTACTTACAGAGAAAAGTAAATACTCAAAGTTTCACGAAACTTTTTATTCATATGAAAATAAGCAATTGCTTATGATAAGTAGTAGTTTCTACTTGTACTCGTAAGCAATTACTATGGAGTACTTTCTCCTTTTTATTCATACCACCCATCTGCTGTTCATGTTACTTCATTTGGGACTTTTGTAAATTTTCATTACTTGTATGTATAACATTTGATAATAAATGAAGTTAGTATTAAAATTTGTAATCTGATCTCACATTTTTTACTATTAATACTAGTATTCGTATATAAAATATGCAAAACACAAATGAAATACCTATGTGAATTTAAATATGAAATGTATTATATACAACAAAAGGAACAAGAGCGAAATGAATTTGAGAAATACAAATCTTTTTCTTTCCCAATTCATTTTGTTAACCAATGCATTCATATTTCAGTAATATTTTAGAATCATAATATTGTCATTACACAAGTAATGTCATCTTAATTAACATAACTTATACATATCACTTGATCCATTAACTAGGAATGATACTACTCTTTATTTTTTATTTTATTAAATTTTTAATGACATTTCTTCTTCTGCGGTAGTAATTCACTTCTACCTCACCAAAGAATTCACTAAACACTTTACAAACTTCCACTGATACTTAGCTTTTTTTTTAAAAAAAAAATTCTTCTATTGATAACGGCTGATGCCGATCATGTATGACCCCCAATAAAATGGTACACCCGCCTAAAACCGTACCTCGTTTCCTTCAGAACATTAATTCCTCCCACGTGGAAACCGTCGTTAGACATTACTTCGCGTGGGGGATTGCCTATTTCTTATGAAGCCTTTAATACGTTTCCAATGAATTAGAACTGACGATGATTTCCGGCAATTGAAAACTGTGAGACTATGGCGCGTCCGAGGTTAGGAATGAAGAACTGGCTCTTATGGCAACAATGATGCCAAAGGTGGCGCTTGGCGGCTGTGGCGTTCTGCTGTCTTGTATCGAATACTATAAAGTTCTATAGTATTTGCCTATATAAATCGAAAGTTACGCGCTTGATGATGAATCCTGCAGTGGGGCGGAGCGTTAGTTCAGCGCTTAAGTAGTTTGTCTCAAACCTTTCCAATTTTATGAAAGTGTATTTCTTTCCTTTCCTCGTGTCTAAAACTATTTCTGAGACTCCGTTATACTGGAAACCTTTCTGTTAAGCCTTTTCTCGCCCTTTGTGATTCGAAATGTCATTAAGAAATCAAGAAGAAATTTAATTTTAAAGTGCACCACTATTTCAATACAATATTCAAAACTCAATCCAACTATATGCAGTTGCAAAAAGGCCAATCCTCTTGTTTCCTTTTTACCAGTACAGAAATAATAAGTTTTCATTACCAAACCAAATATTTGAAATTCCTTTGACACTAAGTCGGGTCCACGGGAACAAACAGTTGATTCCCGAGAAACCGAGCTGCCTCGCGCCGGGATGAGTTAGATAATAAACGTAAGAGTGCTTTCAGGGGCGTTTCCCCAGAATATTATTCCATATTTTAGGCACGAGTACACATTTGCGAAATAGATTGTTCGAAGTTGCCTGTGTCGGAGCTTGATCTGAGGGCATAGCAAGATTTGGTGAGCTTCTTGTTAAGATTTGAGATGTGAGTGCTATTTTAAGTTTTCTTGAATTGTTAGACCGAGGAAGGTAGTTTCATGAGATATTGTTACAGGTTATTGTTTATGAGCACATGCTGTGAGAGTTTTTCTTTAGATTGGGGATTCATGAAGTTTATAGACACTGTCTTGCTGGTGTTTATGATGAGTATGTCTTGAAACCATTTTACAGCTTGCAAAGTTTTGTGGGTTTCTTTTTCTAATGATTGTTGTGTTTTTGCTTTGATGATTATGTTTGTGCCATCTGCAAACAAAATTACTTTGTTATTCCTTGAAGTGAAAGGCATGCCATTTATATATATAAGGAGTAATATTGGTCCAAGGACGGATCCTTGCGGGACTCCACAATGTATCATTTGAGGGCAGGATTAGTATGAGATTTTGTTTTCTTTATTGTGCTGGATGGCAACTATTTGGCTAAGGTTTGATAAATATGATTTGATTCATTGGCCTGCAATGCCTCGAATCCCTAGCATTGTTAGTTTTCTTAAAAGTATGTGATGGTCAATGATGTTTGACAAATCCAAGAAAAGGCCAATGGGAATTTCCTTCTGATTTAGGGCAACATTTAAAAAGAAGCTGGCTGTGTCTATGGATCTATTACTCCTGAAGCCATGTTGTGCATTTGTAAGGACATTATTTGCATTGAGAAACTGTTTTAAGTCTCTCATTGAAAAGCCTTTCCAGAATTTTTGAAAATCCTGATAACAGGGAGATATGTCTGTAGTTCATTTTATCATAACTATTGCCCTTTTTAAACATTGGTGTAATTTTTGTTTTTTTGAATATATCTGAGAATGTTTTATTTTAGAGAGAATTTGCAGATGTGGGAGAGTGGTTGCACTATACCTGGAGCACAGTATTTAATAAGAAAATCTGGAATGTCCATTTTGCTGAGAATTTATTCTCCATTTGTCCAATGATTATGAACATTTCAGAGGGGGTGGTTTCATATAAAAATATGGAATTTACAATTTGTTGTTTGGTTGTTGTTTTATTGTTTAGAGAGTGTTGAGAGATTAACTTATTACTAATTTGTGAAAAGTGTTCATTGAATATATCAGCTATTTCTTGTGGGTCTTGTCCGGTTGGTTTTTTGTAGTGGAGCTCTATATTTTTTCTGTTATTATTAGTTGGTGCTGTAGTCTTTTTAATAATGTCCCACATAGCTTTTGTTTTATTACGTGCATATGCAATGTAGGTATCATTTGTCATACTTTTTGTTTGTTTGATTACTTTTTTAGGATCGAATTATATGTTTTGTAATATGAAATGAAGTTTGAGTTACATTTGTTAGTATTTTGTACATGTTGCGTTTTCTTTCACACGGCACTTTGATGCGTGTGGTAATCCACGATTAAGATTTCTTATTTTGGATCTTTTTGAGTTTTTGTTTAGTGTCGTCTATGAAAACCAAATGTACAATAAGCATTTGCTTATCAAAAGTAACATCTTATAGCTAAGTATTTTCTTGTACTAGGAAGCTCCCGCGGGTCGAGTTCATGACTTCTTGGCTGTTCGGGTGATGCTACGTCGTTGTGTGAGAGGCCGACGATTCCCCTGACATGTCGCAGGCTACCTCAATGCAGTGACACAGCGATGCCGAGGAGTAGAGAGTTTAGAGAAAGTAGCGGCCTGCACATTGTGGCGCTCTTCCGCCATGGTGAAGTTACTCCTCACTACCCTGAAGAAGCCTGCGTACAGGCGAAACGTCGGCCTCTCCGCCAACGACGCGGCGTCACCCGCTGTAATTGCTGCAGCGTGCAATGGCTGTATCCTCTGAAGGTTGGGGTTTCTTACAGTTACAACAAAGATTTCAACTGAAGTTCGCTCGCTTTCGGCAATGCGCCGTTCCGCGTTTCTTGTCTCCTGCAGGGTGGCCCTCGTCCGTGCAGAGGCGGCAACGAACATCGTTCTCGCAGTTGCGAGGGATGTAGCCCCAGTGGCAGCATCGCATGCAAAACGTGATCGTGCCCACTTTTCGCATTCGGCCACGATCGCAAAGGATTCAAGTTGCTGCAACTTGTAGATTTTACGCGACCCGGCGATGTCACGAAGTGTGACTGTGAATATACCCGTGGGAACGTGCTCACGCCGAGTTTCGGTGCCTGTTGCACCTTCGGCTACACCGGAATCGCGGTTTCTGGCGACCGCAGAGTCTTTTAGCTGACAAATTTGTTTGCACAGGGGACGTACCGAGCTCTCTCAGCTGTTTGTCCTCTGCGGTGTGGCTCAGCGGAAGTCATCTGACCAATACAGAATTTTTTTTAGGACGGGGCGGATGCGAGGAACTAAATATGTTCACGTTGCGAGCGTATCGCTCCACCTCTGTGTACGCTCCAGAGCCGTAGCTGGGGTTTCATACATAGATCGCTGTGCACGGCTGGTAAGCTTTGTGAAGGTCGCCTTACACTCAGTTACGGCCCCAAGTGCCCTGCCGTGCAAGAAACCCTTATCAGAGCTAGTATTTAGCCTTATTCTGAAAAGTTTCGGGGGGCCATTAAGCGTCCGCGGAAGGTGTTCCGCGGGTGGAACCTGCCCGGAGGTTCCCGCCCCGGTACTCGGCGAGTTGCCAGCCGTCAGACTGATCGTCACATATAGGGAGGGGTTCTGGGATTAGCTGACGATGCTCCGAGCTCGTTGGCACTTTCACCAGACCGGTGTAACTGTGTTGTTGCAGCGGAGTTGGCTGAGCTGTGGACGCGCCGGGGGTCTGCTTAGGCCTGCCCATCGTCTTTCCCGCATGCTTCCGTCTCCTCCCCTTTTTACCTTTTTAGGAGCGTTGTTGGGGCTGCTAATGCTTTGCCGTTATCGTTGACTCCTGCTCCGAACAACCATCACGCTGACAGGAGCGCTTTGACGGTGGGGAGAAGGCGGCGAAGAGATGCGCTGGGCCGGAGCTTGCGCAC